AATGAGTAGTTTTTTTGACATTTGTTAATATTAAAATTAGCCGATTTACTTGGTATGACGATAGAGTACCTGGTTTTAATGAATATACTAAACCATTAAACAGGTTCAATTATAAAAATTGGTATTTTTAGAAAATATTCCGAGGTAACGTGTTTGTTAGTTTTCAATTATGTGTAATAAATCCACTCATAAAGTAATTTATTGTTTATTGATTAAGTCGATTATTTACACATTTCGGGAAGTTCATGTAACTTGCCTTAAGGCAAAATACCAATAGCAACTAGATTAGTATATATTTTTTTATACGTAGATGAACAGATAAGGTAAATCAATCTAGACTATTCGACTGTCCTCGGCAACGTTCCTTCACCAGTTGACGTCACTATTGCCTTTCATATTTGGATACATTTTATTATGCAAATTGAACTATAAGGTCCAGGAAATCAACACATTGAGAGCCAACGTCCAGAATATATGATTTACGAAAATAAAATCAGTGCACCAAGAATACCAAATCTTCAGCATACTCTTTGAATTGAAATTTGAAACATATTAAGTTACCACAAAAGACGGATAATATAACATAGCTATATTATCCGATAATAGGTCCTGCAGGATAAAATATTCCAGGAACTACCAGGACGTGCAATTTCTGGTTAATTCACTCATTATGTTCAGTTTCCAGTTCTATTTTGGAACATTAAATCCACGAAATGTCAAATCAATTTACGCCTTTGTAAACTAAATGGGTATATATACAACCCAGGGCTATGTTTGATGCAACATATCATCATTATTTCAATAATCTCCAATATCAATTATTGTTAATTATTACCATCAATAGCAAATCAATTTACATAGCAACCATATTCTGTTTGCTGACTAATTAGTAGAACATATTCTTCCTGTGCTGATATATGTGCAATTAATTATTTTGAATTGAATATAATTTAATTTAAGTAATAAACCACTTGCATATAACTATAGCTCGGTACAAATTTCATGTAATGTTCTCATTTCAAACAAATATTAGTTTCTATCAATTTGGTGTTTACATTTGTGTGTAAATGGTTAATTAAAATATTATTGCATGCCAGTTTGTGCGGTTTTTGTAGAGAATAATTGTATTTCAATTCGGTAAAGTGGGATTTATACTGTATGTCGAACATGGCCTCGACTAAATTAAATTTGTCCACTTTATTCCAAAAATATTAGATGGAATTTAGTTACCAAAATTAAAAAAACAAACTTATAACTAGTCGGCATTGGTATTTTTTTTTAGGCACGCTACCTGAACTCCCGATATGTGTAAATTATTGACTTAATAAAAAAAAAATATGAGTGATTAAAAGTATTCCGAGTGGATTTATTACACATAATTGAAAGCGAACGAACACGTTAACTAGGAGTGTTTTCTAAAAATCAATAATTTGGTAATATTTAGTAATTTGGTTATATTAAAGGCCGTAATATTTCAGTAAATTCTATAAGACCATGATATATATCGCCAAAAAAAGTTTCATAAAAATCGGCTTAATTTTTTTTCCATAGTTAATTACAAGAATACGGATCAGTAGATTTTCACCTAAAACTGATCAGTATCATTCCTAACTATAATATCTTTTAAACAGTTTTTGTTTTTTTAAATTGATTTGGTAGTATGAGCTTAAATGTTATGACGAAACGTTTAACACTTTTTTTAATTACAAAGAAACAGCTCAGCAGATCGTCTCACATAACTGACAAACGATAGTCCTCATTGAGATACATCAAATGTCTTTTCAATTTCTGAAATTGATTCAGTTGTTTTTGAGAAAACGTCGATCAAAGGTCTAATTTTGACAAATGCCAAGAGAACGATACTAATTTTTGCAAACTTTGATGAATTTTTAAAATTAAACGACTTGCCGTAGGGTCGTAATATTTTGGTATGATCTACAAGACTACGGTATCTACCGTCAAAAAAGTCGTCGATTTTTTTAAAAACTTTAATACAAGAAAACGGCACGGCCGATCTTTACCAAAAACTAATCAGCACGATTCCCAACCAATATCTTTCGAACGGTTTTTGAATTTTCAAAATCGATTCAGAATTGCGGTCTGAAACGTGAACGAATTTTTTTTCACTTTTTTGCGATTTAAAAAGAAATGGCCCCGCCGATAGTCGCGCTAGTCCTCATTGAGGTACATCGAATGGCTTTTAAGTTTTTGTAATCGGTCCAGCCGTTTTTGAGAAAACGTCGATTTACGGCAAAAATCTGTTCACACACACACACACATACTTTTTTCAAAGTTGGTCTCATTCGATTCAGAAGGGCTTGAAACGTCGAGAAAACATAAAATCAACGCGTCGGATTTTTTTATTAAAACAAACTTATCCTTCGGGAAGTTAAAAATTAATTTGGACTTGACTCTGTAGAAAGAAATAATTTTGTTGGGTATATGTTGTGTATAATATCCAAGGCGTATTAAATCATACATAATATAATATTTCACTTTCAAAAACAAAGCACAAATATTTTTTTCCATAATACTTTCACCAGTTTTATTCCGCGGTTGATTCCTGCCCGCAAATTACCCAATAAATTAATGAAAACACATCTCAGCGGGTTATAAATATAAATTTATTTCGCAATTTTGAAGGAAATAAAACCACGCCATTGAATAAATTAAACTTGTAAATCATTTTGCAAACCCCCTTGAGTCGCTAGCCGAAGAGGAATTCTT